TCCTTCTGACACCAGCTCCGGAGCCACTTGTTAAGCTCCCTCAACTCGCGCTGTCTGTCTGGAGTGGCTCTTGGCGCCGGTAGCATCTCTGAAAAAACTACTGTGGAGGTCCTTTCCTTCATCCTAGCACCTAGGTCTCTGAACTCCCTTTTTAGGACACTCCAGTTTCCTCCTATTTTGTCATTGGTGCCGATGTGCACCATGACAACGGGGTCGTGCCCAACAACATCCAGTAATCTGTAATTCGTTCCGCAATATGTCGAACACGAGCCCCCGGTAGGCAGCACACTATTCGACGCTCACGGTTCCGATGACAGATTACCCTATCAGTCCGCCTGATGATGGAGTCTCCCACCACCAGGATCTGCCTCTCCTGACCCTCCATCCGGCTCCCCCTCCTCGCTGGAGCAGTCACTCCCCCTCCGGATAGAGGATGCGTCCTGCTCCTCTATCTTTACTTGTGAAGTAAACTTCAGTGATCCGTGTGTGTATCAAATTACTTGTCACAAAATTTCAACGTGATCATTTGCTCAAAGGTGCATTTGAATAGACCATTAATGAGAAAAAACGGTGAACAATCACTTCAAAATATAGCAACAAAAAATGTGCCTTTTAAATAAACAGTTAATAAGAAAAGCGAGTGAATAAATCACATCTATATAAGGCAACCAAAAAAATAACTGAAATAAATGCCGCAGAAGCAGTGATATACAATTGTTGCAAAGTGTACTTATAAGTAAATGAGTGTTCAAAAAACAAACGCTAATCAGACTAGCGCCTAAATAATAACTTCTTTAAGTGAAGCCAACAAGTTCATCAAACCAGTGATCAAAGGAATTATAAAATTATATATAAAAAACTTTTCTGTGAGATTGCCATCCACCTGTGTGAGGCTGTGCATTCAGCCCAGCTGTCCTGCTAATGGTAAGTATCTGTCCTTATAGTCTGGATCAGACTGGGATAGTAAACCTCCCAAGTGTTCCAGAAGAAAAAGAAGTATCAGTTCAAATGAAAATCTTCAAAACTTCAGTAATAGAAGCCCTTCCCGTCCTCCGACCAATCAGTGTCCAGACTGGATCACGGCTCCATTAACATGTAAGACACAAAGATCTCCATGAAGTAGTAAAACGATTTATTGGATAAAACAATAAGTAGGGACTCACATATAAGGAATAAAACAGCCGGCCTGCAAAAGAAGTCCGCTCTTATCTCCTCAAGACATACACCCGGTCTCATCTAGCCCGCCCCGAGGAAAATGCTAGAGGGGCGGGCTCCGTGTGCAAATTATCACATTGAAATTTTGTGACAAGTAATTTGATACACACACGGATCACTGAAGTTTACTTCACAAGTAAAGGAGATTCTTTATTTAAAATTGTGGGTTACACTGAGGAGGTTAATCAGCGTTGTAATTCCGCTCAGACACGTGGCGGCGCGCGCGAGCGGGAAATGGCCGGAATTTAAAAACGGGCAGCGATGCCCGTTAATATACATGCGATCCGCATATATGGGGTGCCGATCGGGTGTCCCCCCCCGCGCTGTTGTCCTGCTGATCCCGGGCTCCGCTGTGCCCGGTGCGAGCCCGGGATCAGCATGTCGCCTGTGACACAGGGGATCAGAGAGAGCTCGGTACACGAGCTCCCTCCGGTCCCCTCTCCTCTGAGTACGATTCTCGGCGAGTTTTCGAGCATGCTGGTTCGACAAAAGACGTGCGACCGTACAGTAGAAACGGTCGCACGCCTTCCATACGCTGTACGATTCTTGCACGATCGCGGGCACCTTAAGAGCTACAGACACTGCAGCAATTAAAAATGTCTAGATGTGTTTTATATCGCGTCCCCTTCTGGGCCTTGCAGCTCCTTCCTCTGGCTACTATGTCACTACAGAACCCAGTAGTGAAATAGCAACGGGTGGAAGCGACCAAGGCAAAGACTGAACAGTAAATGAGTACAGTGAGGATTGAAACCACCATGTGCCAGACAGATTGGTGTTAGTTATTTTTTTTTATTTCACAGGGAGCCTCTATCTTAATTTTTTCTACCCTAACTTTAAATTACATTTGTTTAACAGTTACAGTGTTAAAGCTGACCATTACACTGAAAAAGTCAAATTCTACCAATGCATCCCTCTATGTATGATGATGATTAATAATATTATAGACATGTCAGCTGTAAAATGCTGTAATTATGACATACTTGCACTTGCAGAGCATTTACTTCCTGCTTTGAAAGAGAAAAATTATTTCAGTTTGCCAAGGCATTGCATTCTGGGAAGATTACATCAGCAGCAGAGCAGTGCTGGGAAATCTCATCTCACGGAAAGGCACTTTCCTCCCCTGAGATGATGTGCATTGTCACATGTCTAGTCACATGTCCCAATTAAAGTAAAATTAGATCTATTAACCTGCCCTTAGTAGACATTGCAGGAGACTGGGGAAGAAAAGAGAAATAAGGTATGCAAATAATACAAAGTCTGCAATTATCTAGAACAGGGGTGGCAAACACAAGGCCCGCGGGCCGAATCCGGCCCGCCGCACCTTGTAATGTGGCCCGCACAGCAGCCACCTCATTTTGCCATGTCTCATGGCCCTATGTCAGGGGTCGGCAACCCGCGGCTCTTTCGTCCTTCTGCTGCGGCTCCGCTCCTTCTGCCCACTGATCTGACAGATGCGGTGATCGGGGAACGGGGCGGTATCTCCACATTTGTCGAGGCCTCGTCGCAGCACACCACATAGCTCCACCCCCTCGTGTTTGCTTAGCGGCCTTAGTGGGCCGATCTATGCAGGGATTGTGGCCACGCCCCCTTACGCCGTCTCTGTGGAACCGCCGCTGCTTCCAGCTGGGAGAGTGAAGAAAAACCTGGTGTGTCCCCTTGAAGGCAGATAGCGACAGTGTAAGTCCTATGGGAGTCCCTGTAGTGTCCCTGTCCTCTTCCATCATTTGTTCTTTTTTAATTTGACTTTTTTTTTTTTTTATGTAAATGAGAAATGATCTTTATTTGAAACTGTTCTAGGCATGTTTTTATTGAAGTGACCAGCAGCAGGCCACAAAACAACAGGATAGTAAATCACATAGTGTTCATGTTAAAAAAACAAAAAACATAATTTAGTCAGCGCTCTTGAATTTTCCATTTACATATGGAACATAATCAAGGAACAGCCTCAAGTTTGTGGCCCAAATCAATCCAATTTGACTTTTTTGATGCTAGCATCTTTACTGTGACTGACTGTGGGGGGACATTAGAGTGTAAGCTCCTCTGTACAGCACCGCGGTATATGCCAGCTATATAAATATATAATAATAGTGTGTGACTGTGAGGGGACATTAGAGTGTAAGCTCCTCTGTACAGAGACTGATGTGACTGTGGGGGGGAGGGGACATTAGAGTGTAAGCTCCTCTGTACAGAGACTGTGACTGGCTTAGTGTTCTCTGTACAGCACTGCGGTATATGTCGGGGCTATATAAATGTATAATAATAGTGTGTGACTGTGGGGGGACATTAGAGTGTAAGCTCCTCTGTACAGAGACTGTGACTGAATAATTTAATTCCATGCCAGTTGAAAAGGAGGGTTGCAGACTGCTGGTATCGTCCACAGGAGAACTTTATTGAGGACACCATGATTATTATTACTATGATAATAAAGAGTAGATGCATAGTCCTATACAACCGGCCCTTTGAGGCTAACCATACTGCTGATGCGGCCCCCGATGAATTTGAGTTTGCTACCCCTGATCTAGAAGTATGTGTTTGTAAATTGTCATTACTAAACATTTCTAAAGGTGTGTTTGTTGTTGTTTTAAAGATATGGGTATAGGTCCGCTTTAAGACTGTGAAAACTGTTTAATTGTTCACATAGATATAATTTACAGAAACTGTCAGACACTTCATAGAACTAGTAGATAATTTTAACTTATTGTTGCCAACTTCCTTAAGGTTTTAGAAATTTTAAGTAGTAAATAATATAATTGTGGATTAAATAATTTTTTTTAAAGATCATTAATTTGTTATATAACTCAGGATGACACGTAGGTTATTTATCTAAAGCCAAAAACAAACAATACAAATAATCCATACCTAATACCAAATGTTGTTTGGAGAAGTGTAGTGATTCCAACACAGGTGAATATTGTTCCTATTAGTTGGCTTACAGTCTGTTGATCATTTCCAACACAAAGTGCTTGCGCTAAAAGGAATGGTATAGCAATGGTCCCACTGAAGCATGTCAAATAGTGCTGTAAGACAGGAAAATAGTGTAAAACTGAAAAAAACAATTCCACACAACAAGTGAAAAACAATTAGGGACCCACTTGTGGTATTAGGGCAACACCTGTGCTAAAATCATAAAGTTTGCTTTGTTTACCTTTATCTGTGTTTTCTGTAGTTTTGAGTGTTCAAGTATTACCTGTCCATGGATCAGAATCTATGATTCTGATGATTATTTCTAAAGGTGTGTTCATTTAAAACAATTATTTCTTTCAAATTGGATTTTACTGTGCATTGTGTTTTTTTTATATGCAGAACTTGGCAGGAAAGAAATAACAAAAAAAAGGTTACTGTGTCTCGACAGAGAAAGGTTCAAAACAAATGAGATGCAATGTCACGGTCAGAGGCTGTATTGCCATAAATAAGGAGGGAACGTATTATTTTATGTGTGGGGGGTTAATAAGGGGGCAGTATATTATTTTATGTGTGTGTGGGGGCTTATAACAGGGGGGTGTATTTTTGTTTGTGTGCGGGGGGGGAATTCTATTATTCTATTTGTGCAGGGAAGGGGGGAGGTGTAACGTTGTTGAGCAGTGTATTATTGTGCTTTAAGCTGCCCATACACCTTACAACCATCGCACGACTTTCGTTATGCGATGGTTGTAAGGTCATTAAAATCTCGTACGATCTGCACATCTTGGACAGGCAGATCGTACTTGCGATCATCGCAAGCCCCCGCCGGTGAGGGGAGGGCTTCCGATGATTGCAGTGCTGAGTGGGCAGCATTGGCCCGTGCAGCATTCTTCTTCCGACCACGCCACCAACCCGAAAAAAATCGAACAATTTTCGGCAGGTTTTCCAGCGTGCTTGCAAGACGAAAGTCGTACGACCTTATAGTAGAAGCGGTCGCACGCTGCCCATACATCTGCCGATTATCGTACGATCGCGTGATCACCCGCGATTATCGTACGATAATCAGCAGGTGTATGGACACCTTTATTGTATGTGTATATTAGGCCCCATTCACACCTACAGTATATTTCAGGTGTGATTAGAGATTCCTTTGTCAGGAACTTGCGTTTTCCTGCAGCAGGAATCCCTAATCTTCCGTTTACAAGCGGCAACTATAATAAGATAAGCATTATCATAAGATTATTTAAGAGGGTGTGTTTAGGGGCGGAGTTAAGGCCGTGGCAGGGTAAGGGTTAGGTGGGGCAACTGGTGGCTAGTGATTCTTACGGCCTTGCTAGTAGCTCAGGATTTGAAATTTTGAGCCCTGCAACAATGCAGAATACCACCAGCTAAAGAGGACTACAAATCCCATCAATCCATTGTAGCCCCTACCATCCTTCTTCAGCTGTTGCTCAAATACCCAGTGTCAGCATGTGCTGCTATTGATCCTGCACTGTGGAATTATGAAAGGGAGTGGCGAGTCTGGAGTTCTGGTCTGTTCTATTTTTGCCATGGATGTCCTAAGCCCAAGTATAGACCCTCTCTCCCAATCAGGGGGATACGGCCGATAACATTTTAAGGGGCCCCGGGGGGGGCCGGGCTCTAAGCTATAATTCTTTCTGATAGAATTATATGAACAGTTACATTTGCTTGGTCCGGCCCCCCGCACTACTGGTATCTTCCCCTGAAGTGCTTACAACTTCTGCCATAGTTACATAATCAGGTTGAAAAAAGACACAAGTCCATCGAGTCCAACCTATAGAGATACAAAGAATAGGAAAAAAAAAGAAAAGCCTAAACAGAACACAATGCCCACAATTACCCAATGTTGATCCAGAGGAAGGCAAAAAAACCCCTATAAAGCATGGTTCAATTTGCTCCAACAAGGGAAAAAAATTCCTTCCTGATCCCATAAGGCAATCGGATATTCCCTGGATCAACAATCTCTGATGCTTAATACACCTCTAAGAACTCAATATCCAGTAATATTCTGTGCATTTAGGAATACATCCAGATGTTTTTTAAAACAATTGCCGACTGCCTTATGGGAAAGGTAAGTGTTTCCCAGCACTGCAGAGTCAGACAGAGGCACCAAGGAAATCAGGGATGGTGGGGGTTGTAACAGAGACTGGGGGAGAGAGAGAGACAGATCGACGCTGAGAGCTTCTTAGCGTCGGTCGGTCTCTTTCATGCTTCCCTCCCTCCTCTCCGCATGGTCGGTCTGTGTCTCACTCTTTCTCCCCTCAGAGAAGGGGGGGGTGGAAGAGTGAGAGAAAAACGACAGACACTGAGAGGGGAGAGGAGATTGAGCAATGACTCTGCTTTACCTTAGGTTTTGAGAGAAGCATATGTCCAAGTATACAGGCAAAACAGGAGGCTTGCTTTGCTTCATATGAAACATAGCAGAGCATCATCAATGCCTATTACAACCAGTCCATGATTGTAATGAAAAACAAGTCTATACATTAAAGTGTATGCTCCTCTGTACAGAGACTGATGTGACTGTGGGGGGACATTAGAGTGTAAGCTCCTCTGTACAGAGACTGATGTGACTGTGGGGGGAGGGGACATTAGAGTGTCAGCCCTTCTGTACAGAGATGGATGTGACTGTGGGGGGGGACCCATTAGAGCGTAAGCTCCTATGTACAGAGACTGATGGGACCGGGGCTGCAACAACTAATCGACTAAGTCGATTAAAATCGTTGACGGAAAATGTTGTCAACGTTTTCCATCATCGATTAGCTTTCGATTAGTTGCCCCTGTTCACGGCTCCACGCGTGCCGCACCTCCTCTCCGCCTCTCCCAGCTCTGAGCTCTCTCCCGCCGCTGCCTGCTAAGACCCTGCCCGCCAAGATGATCACGTCATTGCAGGGAGACTGCAGTGTGGGGGAACAGCAGCATGCACCCCCTCCCCACATGCTGCATATGTACCATCAGCTATAGAGGACCACAAATCACAGCAATACATTGTACACTGGATTTGCTGTATTATATTATAGCCGGTGCCATTCTGCATTGATTGCTGTATAATTTTACATTTCACACCACAGTTTTTTTTTTTGCTTCCACCGCTCCAAGCTTGACTGACTCAGTGTTCTCTGTACAGCACTGCGGTGTATATATATGTCAACATGTCTCAGCCTTCCCCTTTTATCTCACCTGGACAAGCATTCATCAAGCAATCAACTATCCATGTGAGACACAAAGCCCGAGCTGGACGATCCAGACCCAAAGTCAAAGCGAAACCCTGGTCAGGGTTCCGCTATTCCTGCACATAGGATAGAAAGCGAGGGGAAACATACCGCCCCTCAATGATGTCTCCTCTCCTTATGTCACAATATATATATGTATGTATAATAATAACAGTGTAACTGGCTCAGTGTGGAGGAGGGGGGGGGGCCCAGCCCAAAGCTGTGTAAGTGGCCCCAGAACTTCTGATGGCTGCCCTGCTCCCAATTATGAAGTTCTGTAATAAAGTTCCACCAGCATTATAACTACAGTCTGGATCTCAGTGTTATCAGTCACCAGAGAGGGGTGGTAGATGCTATTGGGGCAGCCAGTTGCTAAATTCCCTAGATAGGCTATGGAAGACCCATTCATCCAGCAGCTCCTTTGGGGGTGAGTGCTACATGTGGGGGTTCATCCAGGATCATTCCTAGCCATTTGAGTGAACTTTTTGTGCTGCGGTAACCCATAGCTACTGACCCTGGGACGAAGGAATTTGTGCTCAACTGTGCTATTTTTGTCCTACAATTACCCCTAGCAACTCAGAGACTGTATCCTGTGATTGTTTGTGCAAGGAAACTGTGTTTCTACTGAAAAAATTTAATTCTGGCCTGGTCACATTTTTGCCGGGGGAGAAAGGGTTAACAGACTCCAGTAAAGATGAGATCATCTGTGCACGTGCTGGAGTTTTCTAGCTGCTTCTGGCTGACGCCAACAAGTCACTCTGTGTAACCAGATAAAAAGGAGCACGGCAAACAATGCCACTGCTATTGTTGGACACAAGTTCTGCTGATGCCAACCTGCTGTGAGAGAGCTGCGTCAGATAAAATGGCTGGAATTCCTAACAATACTGCTGGCTTCATGAACTCGGACTTGAAAATGTCTGCTCTGAGGCCTTACCATCGGTTCGGCTGCTACTGTTACCGATACTGGGATCAGCCTGCAAGCAATAGAGAAGCTCCTGCTGTACACCCTGGGTTCGTTAGAGGCCGTCGGACTGGTCTGCCGAAAGTGTAAGGGTCTGTCGCTTAACATCCAACCCTGGTCCTGCTGCCAGACATGTGGAGAGTACCTGCTAGAAAAATCGCACCACCGATCAAGCCGCCACGAACGTTCCAAGTGGACTATGCAACTGGCATCTTGGTAGAAGATAAAGTTGCTACAACATCAAGCCCTATTGGTACTCAAACGGAGCTGTCATCTGCCACCCACAGCAAAGCAGAGACTACTAAAGCACCATCACCTACTACCACGGAAAGGCCGATCACTACCAGGGCTTCCCGTGGTCGAGGCTTTCTGAACAAAGCCTATACCGGCAGTCAAGTCTACCACCGTTCACCAATCACCTGGACCTGGTAAGCAAACTCGGGTTCTGCCCATGACCAACTCTGCCACTGCCACTGTTACCACTACTGTGACTACTACCACAACCACCTGACGTGTGGATGTATCTGGGGAGGCACGTTTGCCCACATCAAGTGATGGTTCCCCTGGGGTGGAACTGACAGAGAGGAAATGGTCAAGGGGAAGATTGGAGATGAATGAAGGTTCAGGAGATGAGCAAACATGGGTGTTACATACTACAGACACCTGCATGCTCCAGTGTGGTCTGAACTGGACTTTGGGGATCCTGAGTCTAATTCTGGAGAGGTCACTGTAGATGTCATTGTCCAAAAGACTGTCCGCAGGGCTTTTGATTGACCGGAGTCACTCCGAAGAGAAAAGAGGTCATAGAACAGCTGGTAGTTAAGTCACCTGACTCTGCGTTAATGCCTGGATGTGGAGATCCAAAGGAAACCCCCAAGCTGGCCAGACTACAAAGAGCAATACAGAAAAGGGGTAGGGACACTCTCACTCTCAGAGATCACCCCTGTGGCCAAAGGTATTTAGGCTCAGGAGTCAGGACTCTCTTTAGATCACTCCTGGAAAATGTGGCTGTCTAAACTACTGCAACAACACACCGCAATATCCTGGACGCAGGATCAATGAGGAAAAGTATGAGCCTGGAAGTAAGGACTTTATTTCAAAGATCACTTTCAAGAATCCAATTATCCCTTTGTTTGTGCATGCAAGTACCTGGAAGGAAGGATTGTTACTTCTTCTTCCAAGAATTGTTGTTTTTTGTTTATCCAGGAGTAAGGACTCTCTACCAGATCACTTCCAGGGGTGTGACCCTGTAGTCTGTATCCAAAAGTGTATATGCAACGAACACGTTGGGGACCCTTTTCACTGCTGGTCTTGGG